CCCAGCCCAGCGTCCTGCCCCTGTTCAGGGCTACAGGTTGCTCTGGCCCCGCCGCCTGCCCTCTCCTGCCCACACCCCCAGTCGCAGGCCTGGGTTGGGAAGCAAGGTGTTTGGGACCCTCCCTCTCCTTCTTGAATCTCCTGAGTTGACAAAAATCAAAGCAGGAGTGGGTTTCTGTGTCTGCTGAGGGTGGGGAGCACACTATCCAGACCCAGCGTTCACCAGATGGATATGGCTTGTTACCCGGGCCTGTCACAGGGCTCTGCACTTGGCCTTCCAAGGTGAGCAAGCCCGGGGGCCTGCAGGCCTCTCTGGGGCTGCAGATCTGACCTGGACAGCCCTGGGCAGTCTCTCTGCCTGGGTAAAACAGGTCTTTCCTCCTGGAAGAGATGCTGCCTCCTGGTGGTGGATCTACTCTGGCACAGGAAATGCTCCCAGCTGGCCTGATGCCCAGGCACAAGCTTCTCCTAGCACAGGCCTCCACCTGTCAGGAAGTCCAAACAGAGTTGGTGGGCTGGGAAAGCCCCCAAGAGAGATGCTGAGACTCTCAGGCGGGTAGAAGAGCAGACCTCTGACTTCCCAGGACACCGCCCTTGCTGCCATCCTGGGGGCACCCTCCTGAGTCAGATGCTAGGGGAACCGTGGTCAGGCACCAGCAAGGGAAGCAAAAAGTGGTGACACCCTGGCCACTGCACTTGTGAGCAGGTGGGTCAGAAAGGGTCCACGCACTCAGGTTGAGTGGAACTCGCCTGCCAAGGCTGGGATTGAGGAGCTGGAGTCACACAGACACACTGCCCCCGCCCCCACCACCCCTGCCCCTCAGACAGCACACCTCAGGGGCAGAACAGAACACCCAGAGCCTCACCCAGGTGGGGCCCATGGCCCGTTCCCTGCCACGGCACCCACCCAGCCTCCCAGCTCGGAGGAGCCCCGGATCTCCTGGGTGGCAGGGGTGCAGCTGTGCAGCAGGGAAATGCCAAGCCCTGGTTCCGTATTTGCCTTGTGCTGAAGTTCAGAATGCCTTTGACGCTCACGCACCCCCAATGGACAAGGAGATCCCCTCAGCAGCCCCGTGGGCAGTGCTGAGCTTGGAAGCGGGAGGTTCTGAAGGCATCAGAGGCCTGGTTTCTGGAATTGGAGAGCGTGAAGCTACGCGGGTCGCAGGCTCATTGTGAACTGTTTGCTTGTTCCCTCCAGGCTCATACCCGGCTCTGTCTCCACCCAAAGCATGAATGGCCTTGAAGTGGCCCCCCCAGGTCTGATCACCAACTCTTCCCTGGCCACAGCAGAGCAATGTGGCCAGGAGACGCCACTGGAGAACATGCTGTTCGCCTCCTTCTACCTCCTGGATTTTATTCTGGCTTTCGTTGGCAATGCCCTGGCTCTGTGGCTTTTCATCCGAGACCACAAGTCAGGGACCCCAGCCAACGTGTTCCTGATGCATCTGGCAGTGGCCGACTTGTCGTGCGTGCTGGTCCTGCCCACCCGCCTGGTCTACCACTTCTCTGGGAACCACTGGCCGTTTGGGGAAATCCCATGCCGCCTCACCGGCTTCCTCTTCTACCTCAACATGTATGCCAGCATCTACTTCCTCACCTGCATCAGCGCTGACCGCTTCCTGGCCATCGTGCACCCAGTCAAATCCCTCAAGCTCCGCAGGCCCCTCTACGCGCACCTGGCCTGTGCCTTCCTGTGGGTGGTGGTGGCCGTGGCCATGGCCCCGCTGCTGGTGAGCCCGCAGACCATGCAGACCAACCACACGGTGGTCTGCCTGCAGCTGTACCGGGAGAAGGCCTCCCACCACGCCCTGGTGTCCCTGGCTGTGGCCTTCACCTTCCCGTTCGTCACCACGGTCACCTGCTACCTGCTGATCATCCGCAGCCTGCGGCAGGGCCCACGTGTGGAGAAGCGCCTCAAGAGCAAGGCGGTGCGCATGATCGCCATGGTGCTGGCCATCTTCCTGGTCTGCTTCGTGCCCTACCACGTCAACCGCTCTGTCTACGTGCTGCACTACAGCGGCCGCGGGACCTCCTGCGCTGCCCAGCGCATCCTGGCCCTGGGAAACCGCATCACCTCCTGCCTCACCAGCCTCAACGGGGCGCTCGACCCCGTCATGTATTTCTTCGTGGCTGAGAAGTTCCGCCATGCCCTGTGCAACTTAGTCTGTGGCAAAAAGCTCACGGGCCCGCCCCCCAGCTTTGAAGGGAAAACCAACGAGAGCTCGCTGAGTGCCAGGTCAGAGCTGTGAGCGGGGGCGCCGTCCAAGCCAAGCGCCGACTGTTTAGGACTCAGCAGACTCAGCAAGAGGCACCTGCCCTTTCCGCAACACCTCCCCAGCAGGAGGCCCGAAATCTCAGCAGGTGCCCACCGTTTCCCTTGATCTCCTAGTCTCAACCCCTAAAAAGGGAGAACTGATGAAGGGGATCAGCAGCCCGGCCCTCTGCAGGGGCTTGGGATGCTTTCAGTGGCTCATAGACACTCAGCAACCTCATCCATAGCAGGGAGAGAGGAGGCCGGAAGAACAACCCCTGAATACAAAGGACGCCTTTCTTTCCCACTAGGCTCCCAGCCTCCTTCCTGCTACAGAATCACGCAGCGGCGAGGCTCATCAGAAAGACCAGGAAGGCAGGCTGCAAATGACCCAGAAGAGGGACCTGGGGGTCCTGGTGGGGAAGAGAGGGAGTCTTAATATTCCTTTGCAGTGCAAGGTACTCCGGGTCCCCTCTGTGGTGCCTCTGCCAGACACCCCCTGCCTGAGTTGAAGGGACACAGGCCACACATTTCAGGCTGGTTGCTGGGGAACCTCAGCACTTGCAGCCTGCAGGGACCCAGCATAGCTCTGGATTCTGGATCCCTCCTGCTGTAACTCCATGACAGACCCGCCACCCCCAGAGCTCCTTGGCAGACTCCCAGGCCTCCCAGTCCGGGAAAGCACATCCTGTGCAGTCACGGGAGCTAAGCTAAGGCCAGAGCTGGGCTGTGCACCTGCCTCCCACCGACCCAGACCCCGAAGGGACGGCCCCAGCCCACTCCCTCCAGAGAGGCCTCTCTCTGCCTGAGCTCTTTCCCTTGCTAGCGTGCAGATATCGCCCTAACATGCCCTCTTTTGTACTTGTTTGGACAGATCATAAACATAACTGTAGCTTTAAGACTACAAAGGTTACTGTGTTTGGTCAACATAAAGCGTCTTCCAGAACTTCTCTCTTCGACCCAAGAATGGCAAAGCGGTGGCGCCGTGGCAGAGGCAGCCTCTCAGGCTCTCTTGCTGGGACGCTGGCAGCTCACAGTGAGTCGGCCCAGATTTTGAAGTTCTGCACTGCGGGCTCGGAGGGCCGAGCGGGTGCCCTCATTCCTCACTGTAGCTGCCGCCCTGCCCCGTCCTTACGGCAATACACTTGTAGCACATTTGAATTTCCAAAGCACTTCCAGCATCTTCGGAATTTCCCCAACCAGCCCTTGGTTGGGGCAGTGGCCCTGTGCAAACCTTGGCTCAGGAAGGAGATTAGACTTGCGCCACACATGCTGTCAGCGACGCTGCTGGTCAGCACAAGCCCTGGTGCTGTCCCTCGGCCCCTGCCCTGCACTGTCTGCCCCCTCAGCCTTTCATTTAGACAACCTGCTGAATGCCAGGCACTGCCCAGCCCTGAGGACAGCAGGCCAGACACCAGGCACCAGGCCATGTGCCTCTCTCATGGGCAGCGCACGGACAAGAGCTCAGCCGTGTCAAGGAGGCATCTCGGAGGAGCTGCGGGAGGGAACAGAGTCGGACAGAGAGGGTGTGGTGGGGATGCAAGGCTGGGGCCTCTGCGGGGCAGCACTGCCTCCACTGGCACCGGGGACACATGCACGGGCAGCCTTGGTGGTCCGTGGAGGAGAATCCCAAACTGCTCAGGCCCCGTTGCGTTTGGGATGCCTGGTGGACACCACGTGGAGGTGGCATGTAGGCATCTGGGGACAGCAATACAGAGGCCGAGGCGGACTCCAGGATTGTCCAGACATGCCTGCCACTTAGGGCTCTGGGACTGTGTCTGCAAGGGCAGCCATGAGGGATGGGCACGGAGCCCCAGATGACCCCCCATGGAGAGACAGAGAGGAAGGACCCCTTCATGGAGAGACAAGGAGGAAGGACCCCCCATGGAAAGACAGAGGGGAAGGTGGCTCAGAGGAGGAGAGTGGGCATGTGCAGCTGCAGGGGCGGGCAGAACCACAGGAACACAGGGTCCTGGGTGCCAGAGGGGGGCGTTTCTGCACCTCAGCAGCGGTGGTGAGGGCTGCTGAGGGGTCAAGAGGAGGTGTGGGTCCCTGGGCAGATGAGGCCTGGGTGGCGCACTGGAGGGCAGCAGATGTGCTGGGAGGAGCTGGGGAGGAAGGCCAAGCAGTGTTTTGAACCCAGCTCCCCAACCGGCCCTTCAGAAACAAAGAGAGTGTGGAGTGGAGAAGGGGGCCCTGGAGAAATCGCGGGATGGATGGGGCTCACAGACAGACGTGGGGCTGTAGGACATCCCAGAGCGGGGCCCAGGGAGGCGGGAGACAAGGCCACCTGCTACAGGGACAGTGCTCGGGGAGGGAGGACAAGAAAGCAAGGCTTTGCAGAAGGTAGGAACTTCCGGAGGACGCATGAGGTCTGTGGCCCTGAACTTGGAGTAAATGTGGGCATTTCCCTCCGGCCACACTGAGCTGCGCAGGTACAGGCAGGGGAAGGGGGACAGGTGGGGTCAGCAGGTGGGGTGGCCTGGGGTTGGGAGAGTGTGGACATTTCTCTTGGCTCCCAAGAGGCCGCCAGGAGCACGCTGAGCCTGGGGCCCTGTAAACTGGGGGCTGGACTAACCGCCCTGAGGTGACGAGGAGGGTGACGTGGAGGGTGGGCAGCCACGTCAGTGCAGGCTGCAGAACCGGGACCCTGCCGGGCCCTCAGCCAGTGGGCAGCACACGGGAGGAGCTGGCAGGCGCGCTGGGAAGGGCTGTGGCCCCTCCTCTCCGGCCCGACGCGGCCACCTCACCTGCCGGCGTTCTTCACGAAGCCCAGGTCAGCCAGCTCCACGTCACATAGCTCGCAGCGGAAGCAGCCCGGGTGCCAGTTGTTGTTCATGGCCTTGATGACGCGGCCAATGATGAACTCACCTGGAAGAGGACAGGTCCCTGCTGGGCAGGGGGCGCGTGCCCGTCCCCTCTTCGGGCCCTCCCAAGCCCCGTCCACCTAGCACTCCACCTGCTCTCTGCCTGGCCCATGGGCTCCCTGGTGGGATGGTGATGCCTGGGCCCGAGGTCTGCTGCTCAGAGAGGCAGAGTGGGTGATTAGGAAAGAGCTGGGCCAGTTCTGGGTGCCCCCTCCTGCACCCCCTGCCTGCTGCCCACTTCCCAGGCAGCACAGGGTGTGTGCTGTCACCCGCCTTACCACAAGATCCGCAGCACGGAGCAAACAGCATTTGGAAGTCGTGTTCGCAGTACTTCCGGCCTTCAAACTGCAAAGGGGCCGCAGAGAGAGGACAAGCAAACCACCCGTCATCCCCATGAGCTGCCCAGGCCCTTGTTGGGTCAGGACCTGACAGCAGGGGACGGGGCACTGAGACAGGGCATGCCCGGCTGAGGCTGGAGCAGCGGGTCCCAGGCCTGGCCAGCAGAGGACACTGGTCCATTTGGGATGGCGGGTTGCAAAGGGAGGGGCCCCCATGGAAGCTGGAGAGGTCAGCGATGCCATCTGTCAAGGGACTGCTGGTGTCTACTGAGGATCTGGGCCCTATTAGTCCTGAGAACAGGCAGGGGTCGAGGGGGGTTTAAGCCAGGAGGGATGAGATCAAGTTTGAAGTGTAGTGTCACTCGGCCTTATTTCCTGTACCTTCTCTGTGGGAGAAGTCCAGCTCCCCCAGCAGCCAGGAAGACCCGGGGACAGGACACAGAAGAAAGGGAACACAGGAAGGGCCCAGGCATCGGGGGGTGGGAGGGTGCAGGGGGGCGGGAAGGGCCCAGGCATGGTGGGTGGGGGGAGCACAGGGCTACGGCCAGCAGGAGTCAGCGTGAGCACCCTCCAGGCAGCGCTGGCATCGAGGGCCCCTGTGCTGGCCACAAACGGGGTTAAAGCCTGCCTCTGCTTTCCTCTCTTTTAACAATTTTATTTCCTATGTTTTAATTCGGTTTTTCCCCATTCTCTGAAATGAGTGTCTTATTAGACTGAACTGGATTTAGCCCTACTAAGTGACCTGTAGAGGCAGGAAAGGCTTAAACTCTTTCAGCAATGGAAATCTTCTGGGCACCTGCTGTGTGCCAGGCTTTGTTGTGTGCACATGGCCACCCCTCCCAGAGGTTTGTCCACCCCTCCTGCTGCCTCTACGCTTGGCCAGCACTTCTCAGGAGGCTGACGGCACCATGAGGAACGGTGGCTCCTGCTCTGCCAGGCAGACCACACGCCCACATCCATGCACCAGCCAATCCCATCAGCTCTACCTCGAAACAGAGCCGCATCTCACCCCTGGTCACCACCGTCACCACAACCACCAGTGGCATGCTGGTAAATGGAACAGCCAGCTCCCTGGGGGGCAGAGGCAGGCCCTGCTGTGCGGCGTTTGCCAATGTCCATGGTGTGAATATATCTGTCATGGCCAACTTCCGGCTGCCAATACGACATGGACCTGGACTTGAGGGGGAGCTGTGCAAAAGGACAGAAGTAACCCCAGCAGCACAGACAATAGTAAAATGTAACAAAATAATTAGCAAGTGGTATGCTTTGAGTATCTGTTACCTCTGTTCTTAATAAAATGTTAGCCCACTATACATTTATATAATTTAATTTTTAGCCACAGCTGTGCTGCACAACCAGCTTGCAAGGTTGTTGATGGTTTAACGACTGCTCTTGTGAGCTGGTGGGAGCCCTTCTCTTTCATCTGGGCAACTGCACTAATTCAGCCCCTGGTCCCCGCGGCCTCACAGCCTCTGTTCCTGCCCCGCCTCACGCAGTCTCCTCAGCACAGCAGCCAGAGGGATCCTTTTATTTTTTAGATGGAGTCTTGCTCTGTCGCCCAGGCTGGAGTGCTGTGGTGCGATCTTGGCTCACTGCAACCCCCACGTCCCAGATTCAAGTGATTCTCCTGCCTCAGCCTCCTGAGTAGCTGGGATCACAGGCGCCCACCACCACTCGAGGCTCATTTTTTGTATTTTTAGTACAGATGGGGTTTCGCCATGTTGGCCAGGCTGGCCTCAAACTCCTGACCTCAGGTGATCCACCCGCCTCTGCCTCCCAAAGTGTTGGGATTACAGGCGTGAGCCACCACGCCCGGCCAGGACACCTTTTCAAATGTCAGCAGACGGTGTGTCTCCTCTGCCCCACACCCCGAGGAGACTCCTGTCTCTCGAAAAGCAGAAGCCTAAGGCTCTGTAGAGGCCCATGGGGCCAAATGAGATCCACCTCTCCGTCCTCGGCTCCTGGCCCTCTCCCTCTCATGCCCTCGGCTTCCATCACACCAGCCTCCCTGCTGCTCTCCACACAGCCCCACGTTCTCCCACCACAGGGCCTTTGCATGTGCTGTGCCCTCTGCCCAGTGCTCTTCCTGCAGAGATGTACGTAGCTCCCTCCCCTCAGGTCCGCCCAAACTTCACCTTCCCTGAGCACCACCGCACCCCACCCTGTGAGCCCTGAGCACCAGGGCATCGGCATCGGCTGGTGGGCCTTGGGGTTGCTGTGCTCACTGTCTGGTCCCCATAGAGGCCAAGCAACACCAGGGCAGACTCTTCCTGCCCCCAGGGACTGCCCAGCGTCTGCCCAGAGCAGGCTGGGAAAGGTGGCTGTCTGTTAGCGCCCAGGGTACCCGGGGTGCTGTTCACCTCTCACAGGTGAAGGATGGGCCTGTGCAGAAGCTCGAGCCTGGTTCTGGGCTGGCTCCCGGCCTGGCCTGCCAGCAGTCGGGACCACTGCATGGAGCCCGGGTCTGAGGGTAGACTCTGAGCTGGTCTCAGAAGGCCATCAGGAGCGTCCTCACCTCGTAGAAGAGCCCCTCGGGGAAGGGCCGGAAGCACTGGGCGCACACGAAGCAGTGCTCATGGTACAGCTCCCCGTTGCTGTTGACGATGCGCTCGGCAGGGGTGAAGCGGGCCTGGCAGCGCTGGCACACAGCGTTGGCCAAGGCGTCCGACATGTTGCTGGAGGCGGGAGACAGGAGGGGTGAGTCAGAGCTGGGCAGGGGCACAGGAGGGGCACACAGAGGCCTGCGCCCAACAGACACATCCAGGATTAAAAATCAGGAAAAATCACTCTAAGCCAAGGTCCAGGCCGCTCAGTGCTTGTAATGCCCACCCCTTGGGGTGTCAGGGGCCAAGTCAACTCCTACCTGGGCCCCTATCACCCCTTCCTCAGGAACCAGAGAGTCTCAGCACAGAACACCACCCAGCGCGTGTGAGCAGCTCTGTATTTGCACTCTTATTTCATCCCCAAGGCAACCCGGCAGCTACTGTTATTGTGGCCTCTTCCAGAGAAGGGACCTGAGCCTCAGAGAGGTTGAGTAACTGGCCCAAGCTCACACAGCAGAGCGTGCTCCATACTTGAACCCAGACTGCTCCGTCTTCCACGGTCCCATCCTCTGCACCATGAGTTAGTTTCACACTGACTGCCTCCAATAAACACATAACCACCCAACCACGGAGAAGGCAAGAGGGTGGTCAGGTGCAGCGGCTCAAGTCTGTCACCCAGAGCACTGTGGGAGGCCAAGGTGGGAGGATCCCCTGAGCCCAGGAGTTTGAGGCCAGCCTGGGCAATATGGCAAGAGCCCATCTTTAAGAAAAATACCCCCCCCAAAAAAAAAATTAGCCAGGTGTGGTGATGCAAGCCTGTAGTCCCTGCTACTTGGGAGGCTGAGGCGGGAGGATGACTTGAGCCTGGGAGGCCAAGGCTGCAGTGAGCTGTGCCCATGCCACCGCACTCCAGCCTGGGCTACAGAGTGAGACCCTGTCTCAAGAAAAACAAAGGCAAGAGTGTGAATCTTTGAGACGAGACGGTGAGGGGAGCAGATCTCATCCGTGCTGGGCACTGTCTGTCCCCTGAGTCAGTGCTGGGTTTCCTTCTGGGAGGGGTGAAATGCAAACTACAAGGGAAAAGCCCAGAGTGAGCCAAGCCCACAGTCAGTCCAGTCCCAGGGCCCTCCGGCACGGCCAGGAGGGGACTTTTAGGCTCAAAAACAGGGTTAGGATGTAGCCCTAGACACCCCAACTGCCTTACGACCTTCAGAGAACCAGATACCCCACAACTTTGACTAGAAAGAGAGAACACAGGTTCTGTCTCAAGCATCAACTCCAGCGGATCGGTTGTGGCGGCCTGGAGGGGCGGGCAGAGAGGGAGCATCAGGCTCGATGGGGAGTGATGCCACCAGCTGGTAACGTCTGCCTGGGTACAGCCGGGCGTGGCAGGACTGGAGCGCTGTGCCTTTGGGAATACCTCTCCGCCTGCTCTGCCTCCCAGGGTGAATCCCACCCAGCAGTCACTCACTGCTGTGGCACCATGAGGGGAATGCTTGGTGAGTGAGGCTCCTGTCGGGCTGTTCTGCGGCCTGCGATCTGGGCAGGGCCGGCCTGAAGAGTGCCAACCACAGGGAAGCGGGGCCTTAGACAGGACGGGCCCAGGGCTGGAGGACGGGCCCAGGGCTGGAGGCCAGGGCTGCGCTCAGGGTCTGGCCATGGGCTGTGGACGGAAGGTCCCACAGGAGCCTGCTGTCACATGGAGATGGACTGGAAATCAGGAAAGGGCACCCTGCTGATGTCCTTTCTTCTCTGCTTACGTACTCACATGGCAGAGGCTGGCTGGAGGCCATTCAGCGACACTTTCTGGGCATGCTGGACTTCCGTCCACCTTGGCCTGCCCTCTGGTGTGCTTAGGAGACCAAAGCCCCCACCTGAGCCCACATTTGGGCCAGAGGAGCAAGGTGGCAACAGGGGTTGGAAAGAACCCAAAAAGAAAGGACGTCTCGGCACCCAGCGGTCGGCCCTCAGTCCTCTCAGCTCTCTGCTGGTCTCCACGGGGTGGGACAGGCAGGCCACCAGGGCAGAGGCTGGCCACCCCAAGCCACCCTAAGCGTTGGGCTGGGCTTCCCTAGAACAGGCTTGGTTTCCTTCCTGGAGAACGCTGTGAACCTCCTCTTCTGAAACACACACCCAAAGTGGCAGGGAGGACGTTCCAGTGCCTGACCATGAGCGAGACCTTGGGAGTCTTAGAGAAGTCAGGAATCAACAGGAAATCCCATGACTCTGGGCCCGGAATTCCTCACTCCAAGGACCCAGAAAATGAAGCCAAATAAGGACTTCCACCTAGCCCCAGCCTTTCAGATTGCTCCTTAAAGCCAGACCTCTAGCCCCCAGTGAATGACCACACATCCCTCTCACCCGCTGCAGGCTCCTGTTCTCTGCCCCAGGGGCTGCTGTTTAGGCCGGCACCCACAGGCCGGTCCCCTCTGGCTTCCAGGTAGGCTGACCCTACTTCCACTGGCCAGGTGCTGCTGGGCTCCGTGCCCTTTGTTGTGGTGACCGGCACTCCTGCGCCGCTAGCCCAGGCGCTTCACCACCCTTCCTCCCTCCCCACTTCACAAACAACCCTCAGTTAGCACTCCCCAGTTACCATGCTTCCCACCAGGGAAGAGCCTGGCCATACCCTCACTCCTCTGCCTTCCCATTCATCTTCCAGTTGGACGTAGAGGGCCCCTAACCAGTTCCCTGGCTGGTCCCCAGACGCCTCCAGTGAGAACATCGCCACCTGTGCCCAACAAGCCTTGCACAAACCCTGGCACAGGCAGGTGGGTGTGGGGGTGACCACCTCCCTCCTGCACCCAGGGGCTGCCCCAGCCCAAGTCACAAGCATCAGAGCCCCTAACAGCAGCTCTGTGAGAGGCCCCACGATGCCCCATGGGGGAGCAAAGGAGCATTCCAGCCCACTGGCAAAGACAGGACAGACAGGAGCAGGCAGAAACAACGGAGCCTCAGCACCATGAGAGAACTGCTTGCTGGATCCCGCCGGGCAGGAAGAGAGGCAGCGGGACACTGCAAGGCTGGCAGAGGCCTGGGCCCACCCACCCAGCTCTACACCTGATAGCCCCAGCCTCCACCCTGGGACCTGGAGAAGGTGCTCGCCTCTCAGGGCCTCACTTCCTCTTCTGTAAAGAGGTGCACCAGAGAAACAGTAGCCACCTCATGAGCCGAAGTGAAGAATGAATGGCACCCACGTGTCCAGCACAGAGCACCAGGCCAGCCAGGCAAAGCACTGGATAAAGAGAGCTATTGTTTTCCAGCAACTCTGGGAGCCTTCCACAGTCCCTCTGCATGGCTCAGCCCAGGGGAAGGCCTGCAGGCTGCCTGCACTCCCTGCGAGAGGGCAAAGGGCCAGAGACACGGACATTCCATGTCCTCCTTTGCACATTCCTTCAAGAATAGGGAACACAGAGTCCGCCCAGTTATCCCTCAGGAGACACCACTACCCGCCTCCAGCCGGACTACGCAGACAGACACACTGCCCAGGGCACGCCCAGGCCGGAAGCCAAACCCCAGACCTGGGATCGAGCATGCCATCTCACGCCCTTCCCCAGCCTCCCCAGCACCTCGCAATGCTCTCGGTCTTGACAGCCAACACAAGCCAATTTGTTGCAAGATGACCCTGAGCCTGGGGTGGTGAGATCAGAGGAGCCTGCTCTGTTTCAAGCCTTTGTAAGAGGAGGAGGCTGGTTCCAGATAAGGAGACTGAAGCACAGAGAGGGTCGGTAACCAGCTAAGGGTCACACAGGATTGGACTCATGCTCCCCCCAATTCCCTCCTGGCATCCCCCATTCCAGATTATGTTTCTTCAACAACCCCAGCCCTTCTTCCATCCCAGCCTCCCCGACACCTGAGTCTACGAAGAGAGCATAAGGACCTGGGAAGAGTCAGGGGCCAGCCACAAGGGGTCTGATCACACCCAAGAGGAGCCGGTGTTGCTGAGGCCACATCAGCCTGAGCGGCAGTCAGGCCAAGGGTGTGTGCCCTATAGCCAGGCACAGCAGGCTGCGACCCTGGCCCGTACACCCCCTGCCTGTGTGACCTGCAGTAGAGGACTCTCCAAACCTCAGCTTCCTCATCCACAAAATGGGCCAGGAATAGCTACCTGCAGGCACTTTAGGAGGGTTAAGTGAGGCGATTCCTGCAAGCACAGCCCATGCTCTGTCCTTCATCCAACAGGTCTTCACTGAGCACCCGCACTGAGACCGGCTCTATTCCAGGTGCAGAGGGTTGCCGCACAGCCCAGGGGCAGCTTCAGACCCCCAGCACTGCCAGGGCCTCCTCCCTGCCCCGCCCCCAGGAAGCCAGCCAGTGGCCAGTGCCAGGGGTCACCTGGCTATGCGAGGTCAACAAAAATTTACACAAAGCCAGCCCGCCACGTTTTTCTAGCTTCTAGCCAGCTAGACAATTAACATGCTACCTTGGGCTGCTATACACAAGATGCATTGACACCATCAGAAACAGACTCCAAATCGGTATAAAACCTGTCTGAAATTAGAGCTCCTTCGGAAGCCCTCGCCATACCTCTTTGCTCTAGCAGCTTTACTTTTAAGCAGGTACACCTGAAACCTGTCACACTGACATCAGAGAACTGGCAGAGGACACGAACCAGAAGCTCAAAGAAAAACAAAATGGAGTGGCGAATAATCACAGGTGCGTGCATGCTCAGGGCCGCCCCGCGCCTGACTGTCATCATCGTGCCTGTCCCGCCTGCACCTCATCGGTGATACCCGTACTGTGAAAATCACTCTCCAGCACAGCCTTGGGACCATCAGTGCCTTGGCCACCCGCAGCCTGGTACCACGGTTATGCCACAGACGCCCAGGGTTGTCCAGAGGCTGACTAGTGAGGCCGCCTGCTCCAGCTCTGCCACACGCAGGTGAGTAAGTTGGCCTCCTGAGCCTGGGGGTCCCTACCTGAACAGCAGGCTGCACCGGACCTGCCATGCCAGCACAGGCCGCAGCCCAGCATGCAGCAGGGACTCCACAGAGGGCCGCGCTGCAGTCTGCAGTTCCCACCCTCCACTCAGTGCCCTCCGTCTTCCTTCTCAGCAGAAGATATCTTTGATGGCTCAGTCCTCTAATTGCCCCTCTGGGTGCCTTCCCTGACCACACACTAGGAGCTCCCAGTGG